CTTTATACCAAACCCTGAGATTGTTGGGCTGGGCAATTTATGCTCCATATTCTTTTCTATACTCTCTGAACTGGCATTTAGTTTGTAAAGAGAGCTACGTAGAAATATACAGATGAGTACATGTAAACAGAGTTTATAGCATGGGTGGGCAACTGTTTGGGCTGGAGGGCCACTTAAGTTTTGGTGAGCTGTTTAGGGCCGCACACACGTGCATATGCACATGCATGCATGCACACAAACACGCACATCCACATCCACATGTGTGCACTCCCCAGCCCACCCACCTGCCTCCCCTCCCCCACCTGGAGCTCAAATTTGGCACCTGCGAATGTGTGTGCACACACACACTATCCCATGGCTCCCAGGAGCCCTGATGGCAGGGCAGGGCAGGACAGGACAGGCATCACAGAGGCCTGTGGCCAGGCTTTATCCCCCACGGGCAGGGATTGGATGAGCTGCACTTGGGCTCTGGTGGCTGCTGGGTGGAAGCAGCCCCACTCAGCACCATGCAGTGGCCAGGGCTGGAGCCACCAGGGCATGCCGCACCATGTAGGGTGAGCAGGGCTCCTTCCACCCCTCAGTATCTGGGAGATGTAGTCCAGTCCTGCAAGCCCTGGGTGCCACCCACCAGCAGAAGCTAGGAACTGAGCAGTCTGCCCAAGGCCTACAGGGCCAGACTGCAACTCCCAGCAGAGCTTCTGCCTGCACCACCCACCTACAGAGGCGGAGGCCCAAGCACGGCTTGCCAAGAGCCTGCTGTTCGGTGTCATTGCCTGCACCACCCACCCACAAGCCAGATAAAATCAATTGGCAGGTCAGATCTGGTCCTCAGGCCATATTTTGCCCACCCCTGGTTTACAGGATGCTTAACACTGATTCAGGATTCAAAGAAGCCTGCATAAAAGCCATTGCTTCTATTACGTAGATGCTTGAAGAATTCGCATTAATGGGCTTGTCTATACCACCTCCTAAGCAAGCCTAGGCACAGCATGAAGAAATAACCCTTGTCCACTTGTGCCTACTCTGTACATGCTCAGCTCAGGTCTGTAAAGTAGACAGCCTGCAGCAGAGTAGCTGGGAACAGCCTTGAGTATGCAAGCCCCCACTTGGTACAGACTCTCCTGACTTCCATACCCAATGTGACCCAGCAGATCTGTGCTCATATGAAATTGAATCTCTGTGATCCCTTTCTGCCTATGGTGGTTAAATTGCTTTTAATTTTCCTATAAATTTATTATAAGCTAGTGTTCCATTTGCCTTCTTGATATACTAAAATGATTCTGGATATGGTGGCTAAGAAGTACATTTTCCACCGTTCCACCTTTTTGCATGGGGGCTGGAGTTTTTTCTTCTAGGAAGTTTATTAATTTTTGTATTTATGTACACTTAGATAGATGACTAATATTTTCACAAACTAACATATTCCTTCAAATATAAGACACTTTTTAAAACAAAGTATTTCTTCTAAAATGTCCTGCATCTTAAATTCGGTTCAGAAAACCATTAAAAGTTCTTTTGTGAACCATAGAGGTGGCGTTCTTACAAATGTGTCTTTGTTTGTTTGTTTTTTAAAGTAAGGGTTAGAACATTTGGGTTCATCCTAAATTCAAGGACATCTTATATTTGCAGCAATATACAAAAAATTGTAAATATTTGGTCCTTCTGTGTTCGAACATATTGGAATGGACTTAATACAGTTTCAGATATAGTCTGCTGTGCTTGATTAAAACGTATTAAATTTTGCACATAAGTTTAACATTTGTAGGAATAAAATACTTAGGTTAGCAGAGCTTTCTTTAAGTTTTCACGCTGCTTCTCTAAAATCAGCAAGTCGAATAGTAACCTCTCCTCTCCGGATCAAAAACAAACAAATACTGTGGAATCTGTCTAAGATTCAACCTGTATAAGCCAAAACCTATTCAAGGTGGAAAATTTCTACAGTCCTGACATGCCCTTCTGGCTGGGAAGCTTCCCCATATAAGAAGGAAACCTGTTTAAGCCCCTACCTTTTTTCTGCTTCTGTGCAATTCCATCTTAGACAAGTTTCACTGTATTCTGTTGGGGGAAAAAAATAATATCAGGTTTATACCTTGTAAGCTTAAATATTTATATTTTCCTTATTCAACTAAAGCTGGCTTAAAGTACCATTTAGCATTAGTGAATAGTTCTTAAATGTCATCTTATTCTAGTAAATAATATCTTATTTTATTTTAAAGGTTGTGTGCAGTTTTATACTTTATAAGTTTTATACTTTCTATATTGTCAAGCAATATCTATCTGTTAACTTTCAAGTTAATTCTAAAGTTTGCTGGGACTAACTAATAATTCACTAGATTTTTGAGAGATACTTCATCAGTTTAAAACCTTGGAGAGGTCTGGTATTGCAGCCATCTGTTAGTTCTTGATTCTCTGGCGGAAAGAGAAGCCTTTTGATAAACAGATCAAAGCATTGTTCTTTCAGTGAGTGATACCTATAACTTAGAAGCTCTTCAGACTGATTTCACAATGCCTGCTACGTTTGCTAATTTTTGTGTTCTGCCTACTGGCACGGTATTGATTGTGCATTATTTTGTAGTTGCAGCTAAGCTGTTATTGACAACTTCTGATCAGTAGTTAATTATACAACACAATTAATCTGAAATGTATAGCAATGGAATGACTAATTTAGTGAATTTATTGTTGCAACTTGTTAACACCCTCTTCCTCCCACCCCTCCCCCCCCCAAAAAAAAACTACCAAAGTCACGTTGCTATTTATTTAGGTTTATACTAAGGGTATAAGTGAGGAGACAAGTATTGTAGTTTATGTAATACTTTGAAGATTGGATATAGATGTTCTTTTCAGCCTTGAGGATTAAAATAATCTTTACCCTTTAATGTACGTATAGTGCTGTTTAGGGAAATCTTTGTTTCTACAGTTGAAGTTCTGGGTTGCAGGACATAGATGTTTATGTGGATGAACCACAACATTTATTTTTCAGGAAGAATTTCAAATTGCCCTCCTCAAGAATGACCTTAAGATCCTGTGCAGCTGATCCCATCCCATTTGTTCAAGAGTACCACTATGTGAAAATGAGAAGGGGTTCATTCTAAACTTGATTCTCAGAAAGAGAAATCCACACACATAAAGGTGTGGGAATACACCAACAAGGCAACCAAACAGCCTTAGTGTTGTCCTAATGTGACACAAGAAAGGGAAATATTGTTTTCTTATTTTAATTGTTTTACTTATTATCACTGCCATATGGCAGAATTAAAGTGGTTTGAGAGTCATAATTGTATTTCTTATGTTAACATGTTGGGATTTTTTTCTGGGTTTATAATAATTGCTTTTGAAATAATTAAAATATTTCTATTTTTACACTTTAAGCAAGTGGTAACTCCTAGTATCTTTTTTTCTGCTTAAATTATTTAAAATAGTATATACATAACTATTACACGAGAAACCCATGCATTACTTCCCATTCAGTGTTTCCAAAGATTTGAAGTACGGAAGTATTCTCTTGCTCAACCATAAGAGAGGGGTTTTGCAGGAATCATGCTGGAATTCTGTGGCTTGTTTTATGCAAGCAGCCAGGACAAGTGATCTCCGTTCCATTTGGCCTTAAAACCTTCAAGCACTAAAAGAATTAAAAAAAATTTATGAGCAGATTCATTGGTTTACCAAAGCAGCACAAAACCCAGACTATTCAATGGTAGGCAAAGTTCTTTGAGTAGATGTGATATCTTTTATTAGACCAACTGAGTAGTTGGAAAAAAGTTCTTGGCAAGCTTTTGGGCTCAGTCACCCTTTTTCAGGTATAGGGAGTCTCTGCTGTTCACATTTAAGTCTTGTTAATAAATATGAATCAGGAAAGAAAGGCACTGCTCAGTTATGGGTGTGAAGAAGTCAAAATATATTTGATGCAGGTTTGGCGTTACAAGAATGGCAAAAAGCAGCCAAAATGTAATAGTGAATCTGGCCTTTACCTTGGAGTTGATTTACTGGGATAGAAAGCTGTATTACTGGGACTCATGGCATCTAAAAAGAAGGAAGAAAAAAAGCCTAGACCTCCAGTCCCGATGCCTTTACACTTTACATATTCCCACTAGTGCTGCTTTAGTACCAAGAAGAGTGTGCAGTCAGGTGATCTACCAATAAGAATTCTCATTACATGTCAGTCTTCCTCCTATCACTGTCTCATTATCATGAATAGTGTTCTGGCATACAAGTTGCACTGGAAAGGAAGGGTAGTGTTAGAGGCTTAATATTACAGAGGTCCTGAGAAGACATTCTGGAGTAATTGAGCTGACCCTGGGTGTATGTTGCCTATATAGTTCAAACATTTAGATGCAGTGATGATTAGTAGCTTAATTGTATCCTAATTTCTTCAAACATAAGGTAGGCAACAGATTTCACTTAATGTTAGCTTTGTGGAAACATTGAAATCTGCGGGATCTCATTATTAAGGTAATTCAGGAAAAAGAAAAAGATTGATACATAGGCCATTTTTTTTAAGGACTCCTTTTTATATTCCCTTTAATTCTTAAATAAATAACTGATATACATTCTTAAAAAACTAAGTGCTGTGCATTTGAAAAGGATATGCTGCATTCGTCATGCATAGCTATAAGGTCACATACTTGTTTTCCTTGTAACTTAAACTGGAGATGGAGTTGGGTCTGGTACATCCATAGTAAAATAAAATTGTGTGTCCTCGTAATTTGTGCATCCAGCAGTAGGAACACATGGAATAGGATGGTACGGTAGGCACAGCTCTAACTTTTCATTTCACTCTGATATGCAAGATATTGTAATAGCATTTCTAATTATACTTACAGGTAATGTTGGTAAAGCTAGGAATTATTTAGCCACAAAATATTTCTTAAAAAACTAAACTCAAGAACTTTTAAATTGTAGCTGCGGTACATCTGAGTCAGATGCCATTGATCACTTGATTGTTTATTTCATTGTCTGCTGGACATGTGCCTCCTAACAACTAACTTTTTTTTTTCTTCCAGTGTGGGAACTTTGCTGTCCTGGTAGATTTTCATATTTTGCCTCAAGGCCCCAGTAAAGACACCAGCTGGTTTTCAGATCATGAGAAGGAGGTACAACAAAATAACATCTACTTCAAAAGCATGTAGCTTTAGGGGAAAAATTGGATTGCATTGAACTGTTCAGATTTCCTTTTCACTATTAAAATAAGAATATTGTGAATTATACCTAACCCTGAACAACTAACTCCTGTGGGACTGCTAGGCCTGTCAAGTGTATTATCTCCCCTCGGGTTCCCAAGTGACCTCCTGTCTATTGGCCTTTTAAACATTAAACTTTTTCAGTATGTACTGTTTTGACCCTTTTGACTCTGATCGTTTTTAGATTTAATAAACATATTATTAACACATGCTTTTCTAATAAGAATTTTATTAAGTCAAGAAAATGATTAATAAGCCAAAAATATGACAGATATAATCTATCTCTTTAGATTCTAGTAACAAAATGTATTTTTTTTATTCATTGTTTCTATTTTAGAAATGTGATCTGTTTTGCACCAAATATATTTCAAAGACAAAGAAACGTTTGGGTTTTTTAGTATGCTGGTTAGAGTATTAACATATTTATTATCTTTTGTAAAAAGAAAATCTAACTTAATTTCTTCAAAGATCTTTTAAAAATAAGTATTCAATTTTAGACTGTAGATGACACAGTAAAATTATTGTAATATACAGCAAATATGAAGTGTTTAATTTACATGACACTCCATGTTAGTTCTACTAGGTTCCAGTAATCAGTTTCTGGAAGAATTTTTTTTTTTTACCAACTTCAGTCTGTAATAGGAACTTGAGAGATCCCCATCAAAAATGAACCAGAGTCATTGCAAGTTGCTTTAAATGCCTTTGGACTTTCCCGCAAGTCTCTGTTACGGTACTTTTCAACAGATACCTTTTCTAATAATGACATAATTAACTTGTCACCACAGAGCATCCCGACACATCTCATAAAATATTTTTTTTTCAGCAGTATAACATTTTTTTTTTCAGCAATGTAAAATAAAAACTAGTAATAATTTAGTATCCTGGGAGCAAGAATATACAGCAGTATGTGATTCAGCTGATCCATGCATGCATTATAAACCAGAGAGAAAAGTTTATAGGAAAAACTCTAAAATGTGTTTCTGAGTAAATGAATCATTAAAGCTTGTATTTGTGACCAATTTTACTGTCCCAGCTCATCTGACATCCCAGTGTTTTCGAAATATATTTTGCCTGACTGCCAAAACATAAAATATGAATTTCAGGAAATTGGATCATGATAGATGTAATAAAGAGGCATGACAAGGTATTCGTTACTTTTAAGTAGAGCACAAGGGTTTAGTGTCTTCAGAAACTGAGAAGTGTGATTGTAATGGCTCAAAATATACTACTTTAAATACCTTATTGATATAAGGCTTTTTTGTTGATATAAGGTAGGAAGTAAAAAAATCAGCAAGACATTACGGGCAACATCATCCCCCACATGGGAAATCTTGAAGAAAGGCCTGTGACCTTTTCAGTATCTAGCTCACAGTTTTTCACTAATCACCTTGTTTGAAGGCATGGCATGGTTTGCCTTCTTTGTCCTTTCCAGACTGTGAAACAGCAGCTCCCCTTTTCACTTGTGGACTGTAGAAGAACCAAAAGATGAGCAGGCTGCTCTCTTAATCCTTGCTTGTACTTGGATTGAAATCCAGTGGACTGTTGATTGTATGGAGTGGGTCACTGAGAAAAGATATTACACGGGCAGTTATATCTGAGGTTGCTAGGGAGTGATACTACATCCATTGTCCTGTTTTCTCTCCCCTCTGTAGCTGTCCAACTCCCAGCTTACTGTGCTGACAGAAGGAAGGGTGAGATTCTACACCACTGTCAGCTTCTCCTGGCCTTTGGGCCCCAACAGAAAGCAGGATAGTTATCAGAGGACATGCCTAAACATAAAGAAGCCCTTAGTATAGGGAATAGGCAGGCAAGCTTCTTTGGGTAGATGTGATATCTTTTATTAGACCAACTGAGTAGTTGGAAAAAAGTTCTTAGCAAGCTTTCAGGCGCAATCACCCTTCTTCAGGCATAGGGAACTCCTGCTGTTCTGAGACTCCAAGGAATTAGAGAAGCTAAAAATGTGGCGCGGAGCGCCAAAGACTCTACAGTGGTAGTAATGCAAGGTAGAAAAGAGGCTGTCTGTGAAAAAGGAATTTTTGTAGGGGTTGTAGTTTGGGGCAAGGTAGATACTTGAGCAACAGATTCAGTCACCTTTTCTTTGACAAATTTGGTCATTTTGCTTTTCTGCCTTTTGTACTCTTTGGTAGGGATGATGGAACAGAAGATCTGGCCTTATGCTTGAAATGAAAGCATTTTGATAAGTTTGTTGTATGATTTTAACTGTTTTGTTTCATATGTTTAGGCACATTACCCCATTACAAGTTCAAATTAACAAGCAGGGATATGATTTTTCTTGATAAAAGAGTTTGTTTACATTTTATAAAGTTATGTTTAATGGGTGTTTATTTTGAGGCCTGTTGAATAATCTCTTCATAGACACAGTTGCTAAAAGAAATATTTTCCAAAGTTAACCAGGTTTATATAATACTTCATTATTGCCATATGCATCTTCTGTTTCAGCCATTTTCTCACCTCTTTTATTTTAAATTAAAATGTATCCTTCCATTAAAGAACATAGTTAGATTTTTTTAAGGAGTTTAAAGGAAATCCACATATGTAAGGTTTTCACAGTAATAATACTTCTGTCTAACAATAAAGAGAAAATATTTTACATGGTTCATTAATATGCTTAATGTATTAATTTGGAACCTAGTTATTTGTAGCTATATTTATATAATCTTTGTTTTTATGTCTGTTCTGTAGATTGTCTCTATAAATCACAGGGTGCAGGGTGGATAAAAATCAACATTTTTTTTAAATTAAAAAATCCAATTTTTTATTTAAATATTTTTTATTTAATCATATTTTTATTTTTTGTTAAGATGCATTTCTTAAAAAAATAAACTTATGTAAAGATAATTTTAATTTATGTTAAAACTCAAAGATATAATGGAAAAGGGATTATAACTTCTAATTAGATACTATTTGAGACAATATAGTCATGTAAACTTTTTTAGAAGTTTTATAAGTAGGTCACAACAGGCTATGAACAATATTAGGGGCACAATCATAGGGGTTTCCCATAGGCTTCTCCATAGATTAGTAAAGATTAAAGAAAACCACTCTACTCAGTGCTCAGTCTAGAAGATCCCATTAAGCATCTCTGTGATGCTTAGTTTCAGTTCTCACACTGTGGATTTGTGTCTCCAGAGATCATAGGCAGACAAGGTTCTTTGGGAAGATGTGATATGTTTCATTAGACCAACTAAATAGTTGGAAAAATTGTTCTTTGCAAGCTTTGGGGGACAAATGCCCTTCTTCAGGCATAGGGAGAGTTTGTTGTCTCCAGAGATAACATCCTTATTAATAGCAGTATATGGAGATGCAAGATAACAGACCTGATTACCTACCCATCAGCTGTATTGTCTTTCAGCAAGTTTGTGTACATGCTTTTTCTAAAAGTGCAAAGTTTCAAGAAGTTAAATGAATAAAGGTTATCAAACGAGTGCACTTTTTGTAGAAAACAATGACTAAATGGAGGTTTCCTGACAAGTGATTTAAATCAAATCCACCCTGATTTATCTGACATTTGTGACATCTGTATCTGAAGCATAATTCATTAAAAACACTCATTTTTCTATTATAAAATACATATTGTAAAATTTTAAATGTAAAATAATATCATTTGTGTCCCACAGTGTAATGTTTTTTTTTTTTTACTCTGAGGTTTTGTGTGTTAGAAAATGGAGATATTGAGAGAACAGTCCAAAATATGTACAAGCACAGTTATCTAAAAACTTCTAAGTACTGACAAGATAAACTCTTGATTTTAGTCCTGTCCTAACACTGTCACTGAGGGGCCTATGCTTATCTCTGGATTGTATTAAGATACTTGCAAGGTGCAAATAGTTACGTTTTTAAAGGAATTTTTAAGTAAACCAGGGAAATTAGTTTGATATGACCTAGTCAACTTTTAGCCTTCCCTAAAATATCTCTTGGAATAGAATCAAAACAGTCTGGTCTTGTTTACAAGGCCCAAGCAGAGAAATTAGGGCACTGCAAATTCCTGGGAATTTTTTCCTCATGTTATCATGAATTTTCTCATGATTTTAGGCTGTATTTTTAAAGGTAACTTTTTTTTTCTCTAACTACATTGGAATAAGTATTGTAATTCACTGTTCACAAGTATAAATTGCATTAGTTTGTGATACTAATATGATATTTATTTCACAGATCTGGTTAAAGCAAATAGTCACAATAAACACTTTTGGAAAATTATGGAAATTATATGGTGAAGCAGTGCATGGTATTTGAGTCATAACAATAATGTTATAATTTGCTTCCTCTTTCATTTTTCAAAATATATTCCAAAAATGGGCTGTTTAACTCTTCTTCTAAGTCCTGTAGGTGTTTTTTTTGTTCGTGTATTTATACTTTTAATATCTGTTTAGCATGATAGTGCAACATTATGTAGAATTAATTTCTACATACTCTGTTGCAAGTACTGCCTTATGGATTTTTTTAGATTGCATAGATTAAGGTATAAATCTGCAAATGATTCAATTGCAGGAAGTCTGCATGCTGCTGAAAGACTCTATTGATTCAAGAGTCAAGCAATACTTGGAAGCTCGTAAACAACGTGGCCAGTGGAAACACATGGAATACACAAAGCCCATTCCTTTGTCCCTAAAAGGTAGGTTCAAATGCAGTTATTTTATGCTTTGCAAATAATATTAAATGGGATGGAAAAAAATTTTCTTTACTTATGTTACTTTAAATGACATTGTCAAGAAATCCAGTGAACCCAAAGAGTCTAAACTAAGTGATTTTAATTCCTTTATGTTTTTCTGTTGGAAGTATTACTCTTTGTTATGGTCTTTATGGCAAATACATACCACTTTTCAGTTGAGTTTCATGTGTTCTCAGCATCAGTTGCTTGATGGAGTGTCCCTCTAAGATTGATTTGGATTGCAACAGATCTTGGTGGGAACAAGTCACCAAGGCTGCAGACAGACATCATATTCAAAGCATTTCAAATGCCCTTGAAGCTCTTCAAAGGGTTAGCCATAGGGGCATACATGCTTTATGAAGTGCTCCAAAAACAGCTCAAGTGCTCCAAAAGAGTATGTGCTGCAATAAGAGACTACTTAAAAGTGCATTGCTTCTTGTTAGGTGTGCATATGCTATGGAGTACAACAACGAAGCCATGGGTTCTTCATCATCCTACAATGCTCCATTCTCTCCACCTCCCGAACAGGAGAAGGCAAAAGGAGAGCAGGGCAGATTGTGTGTGGAAACAGAACTGCAGAACAGCACTCTCCCAGATCTCCACCTAAGTGCCTAAGGATCTTTCCAGGCCAAAATTGAAGTCCCCACATAATTTTACAGTTGCTAAATAAAGTGCTTTAGGATCACATTGTGTGACTTGTGCCTAAGTCCCAATTGGATGTCTAAGAAGCCAGGTATGATCTAGTGTTAAGTGTACAAGTATGTTTTGGTGCCTAACCTGCATGGCAATTTCTCTTTAACGTTACAGCATTGGCTGTTCTGGCATCCTCCTTCACTTTTCCTGTCCAGTGGATGGCTTCTTTCTGGTGACCTTCCATCAAGGTTGCCTTTTTTAGGCAGTGGATTTTATGATGACTTTATCCACTAAGATTATTTGATTTCAACCAGCCATCAGATAATAATGACTTTAGTTTACTAATAACCTGTACTAGGTGTGAATTGGTTACAGAGAAATGAAAGGCACGCTATCCTAATACCAAATCCTAAGGTAGCTAGTCTCTTCCCTTTCTTTAAATATATTCAAATATATGTCCAGCTGACATCTGGTAATGTCAAATACAGATTCCACATTGTAGAAAGTAGTAATTTTTTTTAATGTATGAGCACTATATCAATATGAAAGCAATTAATTTAAATTCATGGTGTAGAATTTGTCTCTCTTATTAATTTAACCCTGCAAAAATACTTTGTCTTTGAAAGTCTTTTCAAATATCCAAAATTGTAACATTCCTGTGGCTTCCTCTTGCAGTGGTTAACAGATCTGCCTGTAAGAGTATAATTACTGTTCTCAATATTAATGTGAACATGTTGGGTTTTTTTAAGTAGAACAAAGCTTAAATACTATTTTGGAGGTTCATTATGACAGTAAATAGGTGTAGAAAGTCTTATAAAAATATGTTAGGAATACATGAGACCTGGTTTGCTGTGGCATGAAAAGCCTTTTCTCCCACCAATACAAAACAGGACATAAATAGAAAGTGCCTCAGGCCACTTAAAGATTTTTCTGAAAGCTTTTCCTGCAAGTCGGAAAAGCATCTTATCTCTCTGATACATTGTAGGGTGCAGGATTTGTAAAACATGAACTTTTAGATCCTCTTAGTTCTTTGATTTGAGAAAATGAATATAATTTTCTTAAAATAAAATAAAAGAGATGCAGAACATCTTGTGAAGGAATGTTTGGAGTTTTTTTCACCGAGAGGCATTTTTTATATTAGCAAAAAGTTGACTGTCTGAATACAGTGTGTTTTGCAAGAATATTTATTATATGAAGATAGAGTTGCCTGTCAGACAGGCTAATTATTCTTGGAAATGCCATCAGATGTCTCAGAATAATCTGAGAATATACTTGAGGATGAGGACTAAATGTTTGGCTCTCTTGTATCACTAGTTCATTAACCTTTTAATCAGAAAACGGACATATTATTCCAGCATGGCAAACTGAACTCCTGTATGTATTATGCACCTTATAAAGCATGGGTATTCATGCTGCATTGTATCCAGGACCAGGAAGTTTACTTGGACAAGAGTTACAAGACGTTGGTACTGGAGAGGCCAAAGGGCAATGAGGAGAAGTGGCAGCATGTGACTACTCAAAGAAAGAGGGCCCCCAGGATTGAAGAGGAGAAGATTGAAGTTAGAAACCATATTCAAGCACTCTGTGTTGGAACTGCTAAGGAAGATTTCATAGATTTCATAGACATCAGGGCTGGAAGGGACCTCGGAAGATCATCGAGTCCAGCCCCCCGCCCAAAGGGCAGGAAGTCAGCTGGGGTCATAGGATTCCAGCAAGATAAGCATCCAGTTTCATCTTGAAGGTGTTCAATGAAGGCGCTTGAACCACCTCCGGTGGCAGGCTGTTCCAGACCTTGGGGGCTCGGACAGTAAAGAAGTTCTTCCTTATGTCCAGCCTGAAACGATCTTGAAGTAGTTTGTGACCATTCGACCTCGTCATCCCTTGGGGCACTCTGGTGAACAAACGTTCCCCCAGATGCTGGTGGTCACCCCTGATAAACTTGTAGGTGGCCATCAGATCACCCCTGAGCCTGCGCTTTTTCAGGCTAAAGAGCCCCAGGGCTCTCAGCCTGTCATCGTAGGGTCTGCTTCCCTGACCTCTGATCATGCACGTGGCTTTTCTCTGGACTCTCTCAAGCTTCTCCACATCCTTTTTGAATTGTGGAGCCCAAAACTGGACACAGTACTCCAGCTGCGGCCTCACTAAGGCCGAGTACAAACATAGCACTGCCGAGCCTATAAGGATGCTGCGGGTTTTTTTTCCCAAGGTGGAGAACCTTGCATTTATCGGCGTTGAACACCATCAGATTCTCGTCCGCCCACTTGCTGAGCCTGTCCAGGTCAGCCTGGATAACCTGCCTGTCCTCTGGTGTGGATGCTTTGCCCCAAAGTTTGGTGTCATCAGCGAACTTGGCCAGTCCGCTTCTGACTCCCGTGTCCACATCTGACACGGGAGTAGAGGATGAGATGTAGAGGAGAGGACATCTGCAGGCATGAGGCAGAGGAGGCAGCAGCCTAGAGTGTAGGAAGTGCAAGGACCTAAGGACAAGGGCTGCAGGACCACTGTATGAAGAAGGAAGAGAAGAGTGATGGTAGTTGGTGATTCCCATCTGCAGGGGACAGGGGCACCAATTTATTGTTCAGATTTGGGTGCCTGGGAGGTGTGCTGCCTACCTGGAGCCTGAATTCAGAACATCACAGAATTTGCCAAAGCTTATCCATCCTTCAAGCCACTACCCATTACTGCTTATCATGTGGGCACAGACAACACTGCCAGGAATGACAAGATCAGAAGTGACTCTGGGGCTCTTGGCAGGAGGATTAAGGAGCCTGGAACAGAAGTGGTATTCTCATCAATCCTTTCCATGGAAGGCAGGGGTCCAAGGCAGACCATTGTGTTCTGGAAGTGAACACATGACTAAGATGGGGGTGATGACGTGAAGTCTTCAATAATGGGTAGATGTTCTTGGGAGGAGGACTGCTATCAAGAGATGGGATCCATCTGGTGAGAACAGGGAAGAGCACTTTTGGATATTGTCGGGCTAACCTAGTAAGGAGGGCTTTAAACTAGGTTCAATGGGGGGTGGTGATCAGAACCCTCCAGCAACAGAGCACACAGTCCAGAGGGGAAAGGACTCAAAGAAGCAGTTCAACTCTGGGAAAGGGCCAGAGAGCTACAAGACTGCAGCAAGTGGCGCAAAAAGGAAGCAAGGTCAAAATGCATCCAATACGTGTACATGAATGAAGGAAGTATGGGGAATAAACAAGATGAGTTGGAAGTTACAGCTTGTAAAAAGAATTATGATCTGATTGACATTACCGAGACCTGGTGGAATAGCTCTTATGACTGGAATGTCAACATGGAGGATTATACATTGTTTCAAAGGGACGGAGTTGTGAGTAAAGGTGGTGGTATTGCCTTGTATGTCATCAACACACACTTGTTCCTTGGTTCAAGTTCTATCCTCACACAGACTGAGGCCAATCTGCAGTCCATCCTTGACCTTTTTTCAGGTGCCTATCATAGCCTGGGACTTTCCCTTCAGATTGGGAAGCCCAAGGCGCTCCATCAGCCTGCCCTAGCACAACCTGCCCCCTTCCCCCACAAATTACCATGGGTGGAGAACTCCTGGAAAACGTTGAGCATTTTCCGTACCTTGGCAGCTAACTCTCCCAGTCAGTCTTGATGTAGAAATCGAACATAGGATTCACTGCTCCAGCCTATCCTTTAGAAAGCTGCTTCGCCATGTCCTTTTCCAGTTGAGATCTGCAGATCCTGGTCTACAATGCAGTGATTATCCACATGCTTCTCTATGGGTGTGAGACATGAGTGACATATTGAAGCCATCTTAAGCACCTGGAATGAATGGTTCCATCAGCATTGCCTCAAGAAGATCGTTCGCATTAGATGGGAAGACCACTGCACCAATGCCAACATCCTTTCTGCCACTAACATAACCAGCATCAAGGCAAAGATCATGAAACATTAACTCCCCTGGGCTGGCCAGTGTGTGGATGGCTCTGGGCCTCACTGGGACTGGCCCTGGGACACCAGTGCGAGTCCCATGCTCCCGCTCACTCACAGTGCCCCCCAGCCTGCGGTACAGGTCGGGGGCAGCGTACAGCCCTGACCTCTTGCTTGCCAGTACGGAAGGAGCTGGTGTGGAGCACAGGGAAAAGCGGCCCCATACCCGCCCCGTGGCCAGCGGGGACAGCCTGCGCGGGGCTGTCCTGAGCAGGCACAGGCAGCCCCAGGTGGGCTGCAAGCAGCTGCAGCACAGGACACTGGCCACAGGGCAGGGAGGGGCCACTTCCCCCCCACCCCCCTGCACTCAGCACCAACTTGTAACCCGCCCCCACTGCCAGCCTGGGCTCCACGTGGCTCCGGGCTTG